AGAGAAAGCTTATCAGTGTGGTAGAACTTTCCAAGGCAGCTCAGACCTTATCACTCATCATTTAACTCATATGGGAGAGAAACCATATGAATGTAAAGAATGTGGGGAAACTTTCCATCAGGGCTCAGACCTTATGAAACATCATAGAATTAACAGTGGAGAAAAACTTACATTCAGCTCGGATCTTATTAAACACTATTGTGTTCATACTGGAGAGAAATCCTATGGGTGCCTTGATTGTGGGAAGGCCTTCAATCAGAACTCGCACTTTATTTAGTCACCAGAGAATTCACACTGGAGGGAAACTCTTTGAATGTCGCAGATGTGGGAAGGCCTTCAGTGAGCACACAGCTCTTAAACATCAGAAACTTCACACTGGAAAGGAACCTGGGGAATGTGAGAGAATCTTCAAGCAGGACTTATTCTAGTAGGTAACAGAAACCTAATGAATGTAGAAAAAGCCTGGTAGAGACCATATCTTATTGCACTATAGAGGATTTTTATTAATGAAAACCATCTGACGAAAGGAAAACATTAGAAGAATCCTACTAGATGGAAAACATGTAAGTGTGATCAGATGGTAAGCTCTTGGACACAATAGCCTTTTCTGCCTCAGAACTGGCACTGGAGTATGGTCCCCAGGATGTAATTGCTTCAGAATGTCTTAGGAAACTTCTATCGTTATTAAAACCATTAGAAATTAGCAACAACCTTAAAACTAAATTCTTCATGAAAGGAGCCATTTCAATCTTGACTACCTAGTCCAGTGACAAGTATAAATCTGCTTTAAGTACTTTAGGGTGATTAAATCTTTGGGATGAATTCTCCCCCTTAGGTATGTGTTTTACATATGTTCCCTTTTTTCTTCCTTATAAAAATACTAGTGGCCCAATGCACAAAAATTCATGCACTTGGCTGGGGGGTCCCTCAGCCTGGCCTGCCCATTCTCACAGTCTGGGAGCCCTCAGGGGATGTCCTATTGATGGCATAGGCCCGCTCCCTGCAGTCTGTCCTCCCTCTACAGGAGGCGACCAGGCCCATCAGGGGAAGGCACCACCCCCATCACCCTGCCACTGCTGCTGCCTCTGGCCTCCCTCTGTGGGAGGCGACCGGGCTGATCAGGGGAAGGCACTGCCCCACTGCTGCTGCCACTGCCGGCTGGCCACCGAGGCTGCCGGCCCTCCTCGGCCCTCGCAGCCGCTGCGGCTTGTCCGGAAGACATCTGGTCTATCCCATCTAATTCGCATATTACCCTTTTATTAGTATAGATGCTTATGCATATGTGAAAATGCTAACTGGAATGAAGTACTTGGGGAGGAAACAAAAAATAATAGAAGTGAATTGACAACAGGATAACTGAAGGCCAGGACATAAGAGCTAAGTGAGTAGTTTCCCAAAGAAAGAGTAGTGACTACTAGTAGTATCAGGAAATGAAAGAGCAAGGGACAGGAGAGCGAGAGGTTTGGGGAACAGGGTAAGACTGAGTGCCAGAGTGAAGCATTCAGATGACATGAGCTGGTGGGAATTAGAAGCATCGGTTGTGGAAGGGCAGGAGATTACAGGGAGAGTGGTTTTGTCTTGAACCAGAACTTTGTAATTGGGCACAGCTTATTTAAGAATTGGGGTCTAAATAAACTCTGAAAAGAGGTCATTATTTAAGCAGCCAACTAATTTGGTAATTAGGCCCTGCCTGTTTGTGCAATCAAACTCAGTCCTCAAATATTTCTTGTACTCTGAACTATTGGCAGACTGTATATGAATTTTCATGAGTCAAATAAGAAAGCTACTGACAGGGACAGTGTAAGGCAAGGATAATTTCAACCTCATATCTTTCCTCAGTGGGAGTAGGGTGGGAGATGCACAAAAGGGATCAGTGGTTCTCAGCTGAGATGCTTTTGCCTCCAGGGGACATTTGGTAATGTTCAGAGACATTTTGGTTATCACAACTGGGAAGAAAATACCGGCATCTAAAGACCTGGAATGTTGCTAATATCTTAAAATGCACAGCCCTGCCCACGCCGCGCCCCCTTCCCCCCCGCTACCCCCCAACAAAGAATTATCAGGCCCAAGTGTCAATAGTTCCATGTTTGAGGAACCCTGCCCATGGACATTTAGAACACCAGTCACCTGGGGCCATTTAAGCAAGCATTTTTGTGTGATGTGGGCAGCAGCAGAGCACCCCCAGGGGAGCCCAGAGTCAGATAGAAACTTTAATTTGATTAACTGCTTTAAGTGGCAGTCTGGTGTAGGGCAGGGAGCACAGAATGGGTTTGAATCCCAGTATGACATATTGGCTTCAAGATTGGAGTAAATTATGTAACGCTTCTGATTTTAATTTTCCTTAATAATAAAATGGTGATAAAATAATCCACCTCATGGAGTAATTGTGAAAACTGAAATTTACTGTTGACACATAGAAGGGCATCTGGAGCTCTAGTCATTTTAAAACAAGATGAAGTATTCAAGCAAAATATAACATGTAGAAGATACAGTGCTGTCTTGTGACTGGTGTGAAGAATATGACCTGTTAAAGTTCAAAGCACTGGAGGCTGTGGTGTCCCCAGAGGGACATCCTGGGGTCTTGATGTGGAGAAGCCCACCCACGCCACCCCTGAAAGCTGGCTGTGGATGGTGGTACAGAAGCCTGCCTACCCCCATCACCTGCCTCAAATGTTAAAGCTCCTTACTAATCCCACATGAAGTAATAATCTTATACATGAGAATATCTTTAAATATATTTGGGAAGCAAAAGAAATTCAAAATAGCTATTATCAGTGATACACTTGGATTAAAAATTAAAGATATTAATATTTTTTAGTTATCCCAGATTCTAACTAATGAAAAACTTTAGTTAATGGACATTTAGCATTCTTTTTTTTCTTTTTTTTAAGAAAGGAATTAGTACCCATGTCTGTGTCCTTTACCTGTATGTACAGTGCTGTACAGTGAGAAAGATGTTTACAAGGATAAGGAGGATATTGAAAGGGACTTCAATTTAACTTAATGCAGTAGTTTCTAACTTTCTAAATATCAGGCCCTTCTTTTTTACTCTCCTGTGCCATGTTTTAAAATCTTTTGCTTACCAAACTGCACTTATTAAAGAATAATGAGTTCTTTTTGTTATTCAAATGCATGTAGTATAACCACCAATCATGCTTCTGATTGGTGTAACATAACCAGATCTAGGTATTAAAATTCCAACCCAAAGCACATTCCTTAACTTTTCATTAGTCTTTTTATCCCTTTTGTGGGCAAATATATAATTTGCTTTGGGCTTTTAAAAATTAACTATTGCTTGAACACTTCAAATTGAAAACTAACCTTTTCATTTCATCCCTGATAGAGCTTGTACTATATTGAATGTATTGGACTTTTGAAAGCAGAGGGAGATTTTTGTTATGGAAATGCTTTCAACTGTAAATGCTAAAATAAAATAAATGCACGAAATAATTATTGAGTGCCTAATATGTACCGAGGGCCATAGTTTGATAGGGCTAGAGAAATACAGTTCTTCCAGGAGCTTACAATGCAGTGGCGGCTGAGGGAGGGCAAGAATTAATCTGCAGATAAGTGGACAATTTATGAAATGAAGATCCATCCAAAGCTTTAGTGGAATTGAACGTAGTCATGTCCAGTTTGTACACCTGAATTGCACAGAATACTATCTACCTGTTAGAGAGCAGCCTGCACTGGAACTTTGGAAAAAAAGAACCTAAAGAATAAAAATCTGCCTACATGAGACCTTAAACAGCTAAAGACCTAAACTCCAGGAGGATCAAGGCAGGCACATTATCAAGTCTCTTTAAGGAACAGTTGTGACTGGGAAGTGGATTAAGAGGGGTTTCTCTATATAAATATTTCATTAGGAAACAAGATTCTTGGGGAGAAAGTAACCCAATAATCTGCCAGTTTAGTCCGTTTTTCTCAATTTTTGATGTCCTTAGAGTGAGGCCACTGTCATCACCTCTTGCTTGTGTTATTTCTAATATGCCTCCTGCTTCCATTTTTCTACAGAGCAACCCCAATGTCCTTTCTTTAGAACAAATCTGGTAGTGCCACCCATCTCTAAACTTCTGCAGTGCTTTCCCACTAACCTGAGCCTGAAGCCCAGTCCTTAAAGTGACACACATGTTCTGATATGGCTCCATTCGTCCACTCATTTAGTAAATATTTATTGAGCTTCAATATGTGTCAGGCACCGGGGGGTACAAACAGGGGTGAGCAGAAATAGACAACCGTCTCGACCCTGGTGGATCAGAGGTGAGATTAATTAGAATCATAAGTAAATTAACACCATGGTAAGTGCCACAAAGGAGAGGCAAGATGCTGCAGGGGGTCTGACCTAGTTGGGGAGGATTTTCTGCAACGTGCTTACCTTCCTACATCCAATATTTACCTCTGAACTATCTGCAGTTCCCCAAGGACCTGGGCCCTGCCCTCTTACCTGTGGCCCTTCCACAGCTGTTCGCTCTACCAGGAAAGCTCCCTCCCTCCTTAACTCACTCTAGTCTTTTCTTAGCATTTCCTATGTGCTGCTGGGTACTGTGATAAAGACTTAACTCCAATTTTCTCTTGCGTTCTTTGCCTTGGCCTTAATTGGTGAAAACGACTGTTTTTCTAAACAGGAAACTAAGGTCAGGAAGGCGAAATAACTGTCAGCTCTGTGCCCAGAGATGGTGTGGAATGCGGCCAGGCACCATGCACTGCCAGTCGTGCCCCCCCCACCCGCCCCACCCCCCCCACCCCCCCCCCCACCCCCCGCACAAGGCAATCTCCCTCAGGACAGAGTGCAGGGGAGTGAAGGGTACCAGGGCTTGCTGCATCTCGAAAGGTGTTTATGAGGACTCAGAAACTAGTTATGAGGAACTTCTTTAAAAATATAATTTTATTCATTTCAGGGAGGAAGGGAGAGCTAGAAACATCAATGATGAGAGAGAATCATTGATGGGCTGCCTCCAACACACCGCCCCCCCCCCCCCCCACACACACACACACTGGAGATCGAGCCTGCAAACTGGGCATGTGCCCTGACTGGGAATCGAGCCTCACCCTCAATCAGGTCGATGGTAGATTGCTCATGTCCTCACCAGCCTCTTAGTGCTTAGCCCCCGAACCCAGAACTGGTCTCATTGCCTAACAGTTGCTCAGCAAGTGGCTGACGAATGTGCATCCATCTGCACTACTGAGGTTCCTTCCTTGGGTTATTACCAGAATCGTCCTATGCCCTGGTTTCAGCCTCAATCCCCAAAAGGAGGTGTGTAGGAGGAAGCCCATCAATGATTCTCTCTCATCATCGATGTTTCTCTCTCCTCCTCCTCCCTTCCTCTCTGAAATCAATTAAAAAATATATTTTTAAAACACACACACACACACACGAAAAAGAACCTCCAAATTCTCAGAGTATCTTACATTAAGTTGTTAATCACGAAAAACTACACACACAGACACAAATAGGTAACACTTGTCCCATTATGAAGGTAAAGGATCTCACTAAGCAGAACAGAAGATCAAGGACAGAGTGATCAGCGTATGCAAAACCAGACACTAACAGAGCACAACAGGGCAGGGTACTAAGGTAAGGGCGACACTTACAGGATAGGGGCTGTTATACAAAATCATATTTAGGCCGTAATGAAACAATGTACTTTAGAAGAAATACTTTACTTATCCAAAAGTTAGCATACCAGTAAAACCGTTTAATTAGGGAAGGATGAAAACATACATGAGCATAGCTGCAAAAATTCTGAAGGTCTTTGTGGGAATTTAGGCGGCCTTTGAGATTATGAGACCTGGTTTTTAAAATGGATCTAAAATTTAAAAAATACACTTTTTTCTCTTCCTTGATAGAATTTTACTTGCACAAAATCATGTCTACCAGTCAGCATTATGGTCAGGTTTTGACTCCCAATTGAGAGGGAGGGAGGCAAACAAGGAGAAACCCAGAGGTAACGGAGGTGGACAATCGCAGGGAATGAGGTTACTGGATGTGTGGAAACAATTAGTACTATTATAACAAGGTGAATTTTATAGTACTATGTGGAAATAATTTCATTCACCAGAATTCCTCTTGTTGGAAGATTCTTCTTGAAATGAAATGTGAGACCTACCCCCCAATAGGCTCAGGTACATACAAGTTGGTCACTTCATTGCCTACTAACGGATGTCCCAATGAGTGACTGTTAACTGAAGGATCTTTTCTTTTGCTGAGCAGGGGGTGTAAGAAGGTAATTGCGCAGAGGGCAGGGCTTGGGTATCTGAAGAAAAAAAAAGGGGGGGGGGGTAGCCAAGGTGACAGAGCCCTGAGGGAGGACTGAGAAAAACTTCAGTGGCGGTTTGGCCAAGGGACGTCTGAGGTCAAATGTCTCATAGGATGTGAACCCCCTTCTCCACCTCTTACGCAACAGCGTCTTCAGGAAAGTCATATTCCTCATGGATGTGTTTGTGTGAGGGGATTCTTTGGGGGGAGCTTGGAGAGGTGCTGGGATCTAAATTAAGGGCTGGTAAGGGTTAAATGTAGAAATAAAATATGCAAACACAGAAATCAGAAGTTAAAGGGATAGGTGACACCGAGGTTTCCTGTGAGAAAGATATGATCTGGGTATAATTCAATTTGAGCTTGAGATTACACTGCACTTGTAATCACCCTACATAAAGAGGTAAGTTAAAGAACTTGTGCTAATTTGACTGTTAGAGGCAGAAGTACCTGAAAGGATGTAGAAACTGTGAAATTAGCTGTTTATTTGTACAGGCTTTTCTCAAGCCAAGGGTATGAACCTGGGAGATCATATACTGGGGTACAGAACAAATCCACTTGGTGGGGTTTGGCTGTGACCAGTTATTTTCCGAAGTACATGATATAAATCCTTTATATTCAAGTCCATGAAGCAATAATAATACAAAATGTGCGAATGTTTTCAAATAAGTCAGTAATAGATCCACCTAGCCACAGCACAGCACAGTGGTTAAGAACACAGACCAGGGTTGGAGTTTGGGCTCTTACCAGCTGTGTGATCATGGGTAAGTTACTTAACATCCCTCCTGCCCCTCCTCATCTTTTAAACTGGAGTGGGACTACCCACATTATTGATGGGTGTGCAACTGTAAACCAACTAAAAAGAATTCAACTCAACACTTAAAACAGGTGAATTTTATGGTATGTATGGTATGCTCAAAAAGCTGTTTTTAAAAAGACTAAGAATACCTAGATCATAGATATGCTGTGAAAATAAAAGTGTAAACTGGCATTGTGCCTGGCATATAGGAAACACAATAAATACTAGTGATTAGTATTAGAGTAATAAAGAAAAAATTAAAAATAGAACACTTAAGGTATATAAAGTTAGATTTTAAAAAGAACCAAAGAACTACTGGATTGGTTTAGTTCAACTCCCCTAATTTTAGAGAAAATTAGGAACCAGCAGGTGAAGTGCCTTACTCAAAGTCTAGCTCTAAAGCCAGACCCTAAGACTGCCAGGTCCCCATTAGTGCAATTCCCACTCCCACCCACTGCCTCGGAAACATGGACACGTGGAAAAATGAGGATGTGTTTCCTCAAAGGAAAAACACATAGGAGGAACACAGAAAATTCATGTAGAGATGCTGAAGAGAGATAATTCCAAGGCCAAGGGCAAAATGAGAAGAGGCCTATCAGTCCATTGGGATCCAGGTCACGAGAGTATTAAGTGCTTTGGCAAGGTGGCCCTGGTCAGTCAGGTGAACCGGTTCACCACTGTGGCCAGGTGCCTGGTGACAGTAAAGCTGCACTGTGCTCTCTGCTGCTTCCTGACATGGTATCTGTCTGCAGCAGCAGGAGCTGGGGCCAAAAGTGAATGCAGCTAAGTTCTTGGGAGCAGTCAGCCTGAGTAGCCCAGTGTGAAATAGCTGCTAAACAGCTGCTCTGCCCATGCTGAATAGTCTGGCCTCACATGTTTTTCATCCCCTGGCCTTGCTCACCAGCCCCTCTAGATTCTAAGGGCCTTTACTTATGATCCTATAAACTGCCTGTCAGTTTCCTCCATCCGGGAAACCTTTTTGAGAAGGAGTTATTAAATGACCCAGATTTCCATTTCATTAGTGCTGCCATCTTCATTGGGAACTTGATAGCATGTTTGAAAGATTCTGAAGCTAATAAAAGCTTACTAAATTATTCCAGTGCTAATTGTTGGGACAAGAGAACAAAGTGTGTCTTCTAGGCTGCAACTTTCTAGCACTTTAGGAGATAACATTCAAAGAGTTGACTCCCATTCTTAGGAAGTGGAGGAATCACATTCCTCCAGTTTTCCTGATGAGTACAAATTGAGGCTAGATGGCTGGTATGTAGACCCCTAATGTATGTGACCCACTAGGGGAGGAAGAAGAGAAGGAAAGAGGGGCAGGGAAGAATTAAGACCTGAAACAGCTTTTATAATTTAACTCAGTACACTGAAACTTCTAAATGAATAACTCATAAAAGTGCCTCATACTATTTGACCAAATGTTTAAATTAAAACCAGATCAGAGGAGGTTCTGTTCATTCATTTGATCTGAAAAATTGGGGTGTAGGTTATGAATAAGTCTAACTTCAGCTTTTCCACAGAAAGCCTTCCTATTTTGCAAATCAATCCATACAGTGAACACTTTGATGTCGGAGGAGGTGAGAGCTCCGACTAAAGGTCTTCTGACATTCTTGGCACTCGTAAGGCTTCTCTCCAGTGTGAATTCTCTGATGGATGATAAGTTGAGAATGCTGGCTAAATGTTTTCCCACACTCATTACATTTATAAGGTTTCTCTCCAATGTGAATTTTCTGGTGGAGAAGAAGCTCAGATTTATCCAAGAAGGTTCTTGCACATTCATTGCACTGATGAGGTTTCTCTCCAGTATGAATTCTCTGATGGACAATAAGATGGGAAGTCCGCCTAAAAGCCTTTCCACACTCAAAGCATTCATAGGGTTTCTCTCCAGTGTGAATTCTCTCATGTCTAAGAAGTTCTGAGTTCCCCCTAAAGGCCTTCCCACATTCTTTACATACATAAGGCTTCTCACCGGTATGAATTCTAATATGTCTAATAATCTCTGAGTTCTGGCCAAAAGTTTTTCCACATTCATTACATTCATATGGTTTGTCACCTGTATGAATTCTTTGATGCCGGATAAGCTCAGAACTCTGACCAAAGCCTTTTCCACATTCGTTACAAAGATATGGTTTTTCTCCAGTATGAATTTTCTGGTGTCTAATAAGGCCTGAGCTATGCTTGAAGGCTTTGCCACACTCGCTGCATTCATGATATCTTTCTTCGGTATGAATTCTCTGATGCTGAATAAGCTGTGAACTAACCCTAAAGGTTTTCCCACATTCATTACATTCATATGGTTTCTCTCCAGTGTGGATTCTTTGATGTAGAATAAGGGCTGAATTCTGACTGAAGGCTTTACCACATTCTTCACATTTATAAGGTCTCTCTCCAGTATGAATTCTATGATGGTGGATAAGATGTGAACTCTGAATGAAGGCCTTTCCACATTCATTACAAGCAAAGGGCTTCTCTCCAGCATGAATTCTCAGGTGCCTGCGAAGGCTTGAGTTAGTTCCAAATGTTTTTCCACATTCTTTGCATTCAAAGGGTTTCTCTCCACTATGAACTCTCATATGCTGGATAAGATGTGAATTCTGATTAAAGGATTTCCCACATTCTTTGCATGTATGAGGCTTTTCTCCCACAGAACTTCTCTTTGTTTTGTTAGGTTCTAAATTCTCTATGAAGTTTTGGCCAGAGGTAGCAAATGTACTAACTGTCTGTGATGTAATATCTCCCTGATGTGTAATCAGGTTTGGGCTGGGACTGTAGACTCTCTCACTTTCATTCTCCTGGTCTTTCTCACTTGAGGGTGATTTCTTAAAGATAATCAGCCCTGATTCAAAGTCTCTCTCCTCAGGAGACATCTGCTCCATAATCTCTTCCGTGGACTCTCTTGAATGCCCTTCTGACAAGCTGTCTTCACATGCCACTCCAAACTCGTGACCCTCGTAAACTACCTTTGGAAGTTTTCCTAATATTGCCCCAGGTGGCTCAGATTCTTCAGAAATTTCTTCCTTGGGAATTACCTCCTTGTTCTCAGTCCCCATCTTACAACCTGCAATGAGAGAGAGTAAGTATGTGAACTGGCCATATCACATCTAAATGAAGCTAATGCTAGAGGAGTATGGAGCTTTAACATGGCTCTGACAACACTCAAAAACAGTCTTGGATCAATAAAATTTAATTAGTGGGGGGGAAAAACAGTCTTGGTATCTGGTGAAATTGTAGAATGTAATTGAAGAGAAGGAAGATATTTATAATTATGGTGGACATGCTAAACAAACAGCATATGCTGACTGAAAAGAGTGAGAGAAATTATCAGAGGAAGAGAGTTAAGGAGAAAAACAGGAAATGGATGGTAAGGAGGTGCTGATAAAAATTCCATAACATTAACAGTGAGTTGAGGAAGAACTGAGGTTTGGCAAGAAAAACATTTAAGGAAAATGGTGGCTATATTAATGTGGATGGATCATGAGAATTCTTGCTTCATACTACACAATGTTTTACAAAGTATCATACTTTAAAAAGATATTAGCTTGTAAGAACATGTAATAACTTCAAAATGCAATGGGTATTTAATTTTAAAGTGTGCCTTTAACATTTATGTAAAACGTTTTTTGTACTCGTTCTATAGAAACTTATCTGGCCACTGGGTAAAGCTAGCAATAAAACTACTGGTCCACAATGTGTTAATACATGGTATAGAAAAGGTTGGGAGAAGGGGCAAAAATGACTAATACAAACAACTTTTCGATTCAAAAATGACTAATACAAACAACTTTTCGATTTATAGAAAAAGTAATCAGAAAATGAGTAGCAAGAGAAACTTCCTGAGCCCAGTCCTGTGGTACTCACCAGCTTTACAGAAGAGGGGATTGTATATGTACCCATTCAAACAGTTAACATGACTTAGCTATAACTAGCACAAGGGTAGTTACTTCTACCTTTGACTCCCTTACATTTGGATGAAGTAAGGTTCTAGCTTGTCTCCAGACAGTAAATTGTATAAATAACTATTTTTCTTTTCCCTACTGATTTGCAATGTCATCTATATCCTAGTCTAAAAGGCTATATATATTTGGGTTAATTTCTGGGTCAATTTTCAGACTCCACTCAGTTCTACTAATCTGTCTATTCCCTGTCTAATACCGAATTGTTCAAACTGCTATAGCTTTATTAAAATGTTTAAAATGTTAGAGAAAGTTCTCTCTCATTAGTCTTCTTTTTCACATATTTACTATTTTCATATTTTTCAAAATAAATTTTAGTATAATTTTGCAAAATTTCCTAATATTTCTTAATGTTTGTATCCATCATGTCTCTGTATGAATTTTCTTTTGGTATGTTTTCATATATTTTCCAACTGGTTATTATTTATATAGATAGCAATGCTGTTGATTTTTGCATACTAATTTTGTAATTTTGGCCCCTTTATAGAATTTTCTTTGTATGTTTATAGATCCAAAGCCTATACTTTTTAAAAACTTCTAAAAAGGCTGTGGCAAAGATTTTTAGTTGTCTATCCCAATATCCATTCTTCCCTCCCTCATCAGCAACATAATAATGAATTAATTTTGTATAGCAAAAAGCCAAGCTAAAGAAATAAAGTCTCGACTCTCTCCCCCAACCCCCACCCCCAGAGCACAGCCATTCAAATCTTCTTTTTAAGTGTACTTTCCTAAGCAACAAGGGCCTTTTGCTTTTGTAACTTGTTTCCTTTGCCCATTTCTTCTACAGCTCACTTTTACTACCTCTGTAACTTTCTACATCAACTTTCTCTTTTAATTTGAAGGAAAAAGAAGAAATTATCAGACTTCTTTGCAGCTAGGTATTACCATGTGACCAACTTCTGGCCAACAAGACAGGAAGATGCAAATGAAAGAACATAGGACTTATGGGAGGTCTCCTTCAGGGGGAGAGGATGCATTTCCTCACCCTCTTCTTCATGCTGCACCTGGGGCATGAGCTGATAGTTGGAGTGCTGTCTTGAACCATGAGTACAATGACATACCCTATGACAGGACTAGAGCTGGAAGGAACTGGGTCCCTGATGAGTCCATGGAGCTCACATAGCAGTCCTGGAATGTCTGCCTCTGTACTTCTTTCATTTAGGAAAGAAATACTTTGCCTTGCTTGAGCTATTATGTGTTTGGTTTTTAATTTATTAAGCCACTACTCCTAACTGGCACAATGGCCCTAGGAATCCAGCTGTCCCAGTCACAGAAGTAAAGTCCAAGTGATGGGAGAATAAGCGTGGTCTCTGTTCAGGTAGTAAGCAACCTGGAGCTAATATTGAAGAGGCCCTCTGCCTAGGCCAGTGCATTTTTGTACCATAGCAAATCTGAGGAACACAATCATCCCATCAGTAAAAGTGTTAACTATGAAAGGTGATTCTCAAGGGGGAATGGGCAGCTATGGGACTTTAGTTAAGGCAAGGATAGTCCATTGTCGGACTAGCATTAGGTAGATGTACACTAGTGGCCATTCAATGGCTGAACTAGAAAGTACTATTCCTAGACATAGGGAAATCAGAAAATTGATGAAGTCATCAAGATAAAGGGTGATTAAATCTAACTATGGCAACAGTAGTAATGAAAGGACACATACTGGAGAAATATTTAAGAGGACAAATTCTGTAAAATTTAGTGTGTAATTGGATATAGATATAAGGAATAGGGAAGAGTTAAAGATGGTGCCAGATCTCCATTTGTTTGAGGAATGGTAATTAGATGAATAGTGGTACCACTGAGGTTGAGAATACTGGAGAAGCATTTAGTTTAGAAAGGAAGATTAAATCTATCTGGACTAAATGAATCTCAGTATATCCACATAAAGGTATCAAGGAATCTATATTTTATATTTTATATTTTGTATCAAGGAATATATTGTATTCGTCTAAAGTATAGAGCAAACAGGACTAGAGATACAGACAGAGTATTCTGCATAAATGGTATGAGTATAGTATGACAACTGTCAGATATACTAAGGACAGAAACATAAAAAGACAACACTTAAGAGTACTCCAGTTATCTTCCATCTTCCCCTCTAGATTGCTCTGCATTTCCCCACCCTGCTCTCTGCCCCAGAAGGCTAACCTATACAGCACAAATCAACAAGTCCTCTGGCCTCTAGTTGTGTTCCATCAATGGGGAGGCTCAGCAGGAGGCTGGAAGTAGGGAAGAGAATAAGATCAGGGTATTTACTCTCCTGATTCCTGAGATCACGTTGGGTTGACAGTTTCCCTCAATTGAAGGTCATTACTACTCTCAAGAAGTCTATCCTACCCAAATGTCTCAACAACTGGGTTCCCCAGTAACCTCTCCTACCTCTTATCTTTTATGACCTGGGGCTGGTGATCACTCCACAGTTGCCTCAACACCATGCCCACACACTTAACATTTATAATTAACCTCTTTGCAAATAAACCATCCCCAAATTATTCTAATTTGAGTGAAGTATCTGTTTCCTGTTAGGGCCGTGAAAAAGGAATGGGTGAAAGGAGAAAAAAAAATGGTTAGTGAAGTAGGAGAAGAATCAGAATACAGTGTCATAGAAGTCATCAAGGCAATGGCAGAGGGAATTTTAAAATGTCACATGCAGTTGAGTGATCCAGTAGAATAAGAACTGGAAAATGTCTACTGGGACAATTAGGTAGTCACAGATGGTCTGTGAGAACAGATTCAGTAGAACGACAGAAGCAGAAGCCAGTGACAGTGGAGTAATTAGTAACGTTGCTGCTTCTTTCAAAAAATTTGGAAGAAAGGAGAGAACCAAGATGAGCAGTAGCATTAGAGATCAAAGAAAGGCCAAAGAAGAATGTTCTATGATGGGAAAGACTTGAATATGTTTATATTCGGAGTGATGGTGCCAGTAGACAGACAGGGATTAAGGGGGAAAATATGTGATTACTGAAGAAATGAAGACCCTGAGAGGCAGGAGAGCCTGGGGTCAAGTGGTGAGGGAAAGGGGAAGCGATGATTTTTGGGTGACCTTTGTACTGCCCTTTTTCTCTGCCCAGCCTCCCAGTCATCCTCAGGATGGTAGTTACTACCACCATCCTACCCTGGGGCCTCTCTAGTCACTCATCAGTGCAGCCCTGGTAATACTGCCCCCCCCCCGCCCCCCCATAATACCTCCAACACCTGTTAGGAACTTGACCTCCTATTGGAATCCTGAAGCCTTGGAAACTCTTTGTGCTACTCCTCAAAATAAACTAGAATCTTCTTCAACTTTTCTTGCCTCAGCATTTCTTTTATTTTCCCATGGAGTGAGGGTGGGCACCCAAAAGCTGGATTTCGCCTATTTGTTGAAAATTATAAATAATATGTGTCCATATAATTGTAAGAATCCATTGTGGAGAATTTAGCTATCTTCATCCATGGTACCATTTGAGTTGGGGCATACTGCCTTAAATAAATTTCTCTCTGATACTGGTACATGGCCAAGAACAAGTCCCTATCTACTTCAGGCCCCCTCTCTGGCCTTTCCTTTTCACCCTCATCCCTCCTATAGTTACTTCTTTTCCATCATCTAGCTCTTTACAAAGTCATCAATCACAGCCATACCATATGGAAAAATCACTTGTACACCATAAAACAAGATAAAGATATGAAAGTTAGGTAAGCACCTATCTCCAGCTTCAAGATCTGGTTCAAAAATCAAATCCAGAAAGTCTTCCCCAACTAAATTTGACCCCATCTGTGACCATTCTTTTGCTTCGCATTCTACCAGTGACACAATATTAATGTCATCTGTTAAATACTACTTTATAGGTATCTCCTCATATACAAATCAAAGCCAATCTCCATTTGGTTGATTTTCCCAGAGGCACAGCCACACATTAAACTTCATCCTCATATGGAAACACTCTACTATGCATAGCCTAAATTTACATTTCCAAACAGAATTTCCCATCTTTCTGTTTCTCACTTCTTCACTTTTCTGAATTGAAATTAGCTGTTTCTGGAGAGAGATAAGATGGAGGTGCCAGCTGAGGAGGAAGAGGACCACTCTTGGTCCTCAGCCTGGGGGGTGACAAGCAGACCTCAACTGGATCTCCACGGTTCAGAATAGAGTCTGCAGTGCTGCAGACCTGGATTTGTGGTTGGTTGGGTTTTTTTTCCAATGCATCCTAGAGCAGGCTCGGAAATCCTCATTCACAAAATACTAATGCATAAGCCAGATACCTACCTATTAATTAACAATGAGAAATATGCTCTGAAAGGACCACAATGCCCAGATGAAAATCTACAATAGGAAACCACATAAAACACTCAAAATTGTTTAGTAAGCTCTGAAAAATGTTTAGTAGGCTTGCGATCATAGCAAGATGTTTTTTATTTTGTTTTGTTCTGTTTTGATGAATCTTAAATAATGATTCTGGCTTAGAACTAGGCCAGATGCATAAGAATCAACTGGGAAATCTTTTAAAATACTTATTTCCCACCTCAGAACTCTCAGAATCAGAATCTCCAGGAGTGGGCCAAGGAATCTGTATTTTTAACAAATACCGCAGGTGATTCTGATGATCTACCAGGTTTGGAAACCACTGTGTTCGGCAGTCTTACCGACTGAAGTTATCCCACTCTCCATCTGGTGCAACCATCCCTACCTAAGGTCTGATCTACCAAGTAGCTAACCATGTGCACAGCAGCAGTATTATAGATACATTGTCAGTTCTTGCTCTATTTTCCTATCCCCCATCTTGACTGCCCCTACCTTTCCCTAAACTTCTGAGGGCAGATAGAGAAAATATAATACAAGTGACTAGATTCCTTTTTCTGAATTAGAATCACATTCCTGTTATGCTTATCAGACTAATCCTAGATACTGGGACTGGACCTGAGTGTGCCCAATTGCTTAAGTCAGAGTTTACAACACCTTTTGTGATAGCAAATATCACTCAACCCTTTGAACTTACCTGCCAAAAATCATATTGTAATTTGCAGTAAAAAAATAAATAAATAAATAAATAATCTATCATCTGACCGTTTGATTTGATATTTTAAAAATTTTGTTGAAAGCAAAGATTAGGACTTAAATTACAAAAGGCCCAGGATCATTTACTTACTCAACAAACCCTCCCTTTGTGTATTACTCCAGAGGTTTTTCTACCCAGAGTAATACACCATAGCAAAATTCAGGAGGCCATGGGTGAGAGGTGTGTCTTTCTTTTGTAGAGGAGGAAAAGAGAAAGCTATAGACCACAGGCCCAATCTCAAGTACATCGGTTGTAAGCAATGATAAATATTGAAGTCAAGGATCTAGAAACTGATTCCCATTCAACAATCCATGTGTCCAACAGATGTTACAGAAAGAGTTTGTGTACATCCTCCATGTATTTCAGTTCGAAGACTACTGCTCAACAGCATTTTGAGCAGAGAATGGGGTAAGCAAATCCTCAGAGGCCAGGAAGTACAGAAGGAATAAAGGAACAGAAAGAACATTCTAACATCAATGTATTATGTGTAGAAGAAGTGAGGGTGCACTGACATTTTGATGTGGACAGTAATAATGAGCGCTTACCATGTACTGTGTGCTAAGCAATTTATAGACAATAGCCTGTTAACCCCTCACAACCTCCTTATGAGACAAGTATGATAGAGTGCATCAGTGTGAAGAGAAGTCAATAGGCATCGGTTCCTATCTTTCTCCAGTGACACTTCTGACAGTCCCAGGGCAGCTGAGGGTCTAGAGATATGCATGATGGAAAAGAGAGGGAGTGAGGGACTTGAGCATGTTAATCGGGACACGCTTACAATGACTGAGACAGGGAGGCAAATGAAGTGGGGGGAGGGAGTGAGGAGTAGGATGCTAATAGATGGAGGTCACAGAGAAGGTGAAGAATGTGGTGAGCACGAGGAACCAAGGACAGGCATCCAGGAAAATGGCATGAGGTTTAATTTTGAAATGTCAAAATTTATAATACACCGAAAGTAATATCCTTTGCAACTATTCAAATTTATGACAAAAAAAAGATGAAACCTTTTGGATGTCAACTTACATATGTGTAAGAGGATCCAAAGCTTTTCAAACTATTTTATGGGGCATTTGAGAAAAAAAGTTTGCAGTGGCCTTGCTCTCAGAGCTCCAGGAGTGAATCCCAACTGAGTTAACCCAGTCAAGTGAATACCATCCCCCTTGCAAGTGACTGCTCAAAACAGCAGGAACTGGTTCGGAAGAATGCCTTCATCTGGCTCAGTGACAATCTGAGGAAGTTTGCTGGGAGCTTCTAGGAACAGTTTCCTGCCATCCTGAGAGAAATCTCAGGAAGAGACTTCTATACATGGTTGCCTGGAACTGCTACTGCCATTTCACTCCCAAGTTGTGGGTGACGGCAGGTAAAGCTAAGAAAGTTGAGGGGAAATGGAACCAGGGCCAAGAGATTAAGTCAGTCCTGAAACCACTTTACCTGTTGTCTTCCAATAATGAGAGTTAATAGCATGCATTAAGCCAACTTGAGCTGTAGTCTTACTTACATTACAGACAAAAGCATTTACTTTTGATACAAATCCTTCCCCTGAACTTCTGAAAGGCCAGATACGCACTATCTAGTGTAAGAATCACCTCCTCCCCAAAGTTTTCACTAACACCTGCAGGAAGGAGGTTGTCTCTTGGTCCTCTGACGCAGCATTTCACTGACCTCTTTCTTTGGACTACAGTTATCATGTCACTTCCTGTTCATTGCTTCCCAAGACCTACAGAATAAGAACTTAACCTGGCTCATAATGCCCTCCGGGTCAGGCCCCTGTCGCCCTTTCCATCACCTGTCCCACTCTCCAATGACTGCTGAAAGCTCAGGGTGCTGCAGTGCAAACACTTCCTATTCTTGAAAGCGCCTTTGCCTTTGCAAACAGGTTATTCCCGCTGCCTGGCCACCTTGTGCACTTAACATCTACAGGACTCAGCCAAGCACAGACAGTCCCTTCTGTCTTCTTCCCTGCCCCTAAGACTCCTTCATCTTGTAGCAGTGACCTCATTGCATTAGTCTATTTTCATGTCTGCTTCCCTCTCTATAATGTGAGCGAGGATGACGTTCCAGCCATCTTGGTATTCCCAGTGCCTAGCACATTTCGGTACCTGGCAAATGATGTTCAATGAATCTGTGTAAATGCCTTATCTGCATAACGAATCTGGGATACCCTTGAGGACTAACTAGATATGTCATTCGTTTTGTAGCTAAACAGCCTAGAGCGATACCTGACACATAGCGGATGACAATAACTGTTTGTAGAAATGAGTTCCTTTTCCCAGTCGGGGTGGTATTTAATTTAAAGCACTATTATCCTCCTTTCCGCTGTCCTCCCCGTGGTTCCTACAATCAAGAAGGGTCTATTGTCTCCTTTCCAAAACTAACCCTCATAAGCCAATAACCTACCTGCCGGCACAATATGCCGGGGCGGAGGGGGGGGGGGGGGGGACGGGACGAGTTTTTGGCGTCGCCTCACCTTTCCTCCCCGCAGTCTACGTGGGGAGGGTATGTCGGAAAACCACAGGCCGGAGGAAGGGAGAAGCCCTGCTTCCTCCGCCCTCGCGGCTGACAGGCACGGAACCGCACGCTCTGTGTGCGGGTGGGACACGGAGGCCCGGGCTGACCATCAAGTCCAAGGTCACAAAGCGAACCCGGGTCGGGAACGGGCCTAACGCGGGGTTTCCCCTCGGCTCGCGGGCCGGGAAGTCGGGAGCCTAGCGCCCTCCTCCCTCCCGCCGGGACGGAATGAGGTCTCACCGCAGGCCGCTACCGCCCCACGCTCGCTCCGCTCGGGCTCCCGGGGCTGCTCCGCCCGCTCGCGCACAGCCCGCAGCTGTTGTCTTGGTTTCACTGGCGACGGGCACCGGCTACTTCCGGGAGCGGGCGGCGCTCCAGCCAATCAGCGCGCGCCGCACTCCGCGGGCGGAGCAGGTGGCTCGCACGCCGCCGGCGCCTCCTCCCCTCTCCCGCTTAGCTCTCTGCGGACTCGCCGCGGAACCTGCGCGCCTCCTGGCCACCGCCTGCCGACGCTGCCCCCGGAGTGGCCCTGTGAGCCCGCCATTGCCCACTTCAGCCCCGGGGTCACTAAAGAGCTGGGTCCTCCGGGTTTCCTAGAACGGCTCCGGGGATGAACTTCCGCCCTGCGACCGGCCGCTCTGCGCGCTCCCGTCGCTCCCTGAGCTTTGACGGCTGGAGAAGCTGGGAGTCGGCTTCGCTTCTTCGCGGGGCAGAGGCTGCGGGGCCTCCTTGAACCCCACCTGCATCCCTTATGCCTGAGTCCAGTCAACACGGACCCGCTAGCTCCCAGGAAGAAGCGGGGGTCGCAGGAGGACCTGCCAGCGGTCCCGGAAGGCTTATCGGAGAGGGGGGTGAGGTTTGGACTGAGATCTGAAGGTTCACGCAACGGGAACAGCGTTCTACGCTAGCATTTTTTACGCCTTGAACAAGCACAGCCGGCCCATCTCGCTTCAGAACGTTTGTACTTGTTACTTCCTCTGCTCTTCTTTGCACAAGATTCTTTTTTAAAATATATTTTATTTTGATTTTTTTACAGAGAGGAAGGGAGAGGGATAGAGAGTTAGAAACATGGATGAGAAACATCGACCAGCTGCCTCCTGCACACCCCCCACTGGGCATGTGCCCACAACCAAGGTACATGCCCTTGACTGGAATCGAACCGGGAACCTTTCAGTCTGCAGGCCAACACCCTATCCACTGAGCCAAACCAGTCAGGGCCATACTTTTATATATATATATATATATATAGAGAGAGAGAGAGAGAGAGAGAGAGAGAGAGAGAGAGAGAGAGATTTCAAGAGGAAGCGTGAGGGAGAGAGAGAAAGGAGAATCATTGATGGGCTGCCTCCTGCACGCCCCCTACTGGGGATCATGCCGCAACCCAGGCTTGTGACCCCACAGGAATGGATCTGTGACCTCCTGGTTCACAGGTAGATGCTCACTGAGCCACCCCTGCCGGGCAGATTCTTGTTATTCGGGTGCCCGTTCAAAAGTAACTGGTTGGAGTAGCTTTCCATCCTATCTAATGTTGCCTCAAACTCCGCTACCCCTCCCGAGTATCAGTTACAGGGAAGGGCTATGATTGGCCCTGTTTGGGTCTGATGCTCACCCCTGGACCAATCATTATATTCAGGGGAAAGGGATAGTAGGATTAGCCAAATCTGGGTCACTAGTTACCCCAATTGTGGGGTCTGGCTTTTGTGTTCGCCTCACTACAATAGGGAAGGGAGTGACTATTCTCAGAAAGGGATATTGTGTATATACAGTGTGTTCCCCCCCCCCTCATGCCCCCCAATGTTAATGGCTGGTAGCTCAATGGATGTTTCTTTTCAGATTTAACCATTGGAATTAATAATTATTCAAAGTGTGTATACATTTTTTGGGACACCCTGTATATCCAGTACACGCCTAGCAGAAAAGAAAACTTTCTCTTATGTTCGTCATTGGGATTAGGCTCTAGACTCTTAAGGTCCATCATTACTGTCTGCAACTATCCAGGAAGTTTGTTAACCCTGGGTCAGTTGAAATATCCATTTTCCTTGCCCAGGCTAACTAGTGGGGAAAATTACACATTTGGGGGAAGAGCCCCAGGATCAATGTATAATTTCCACTTTCCAAAGGTTTGTCACTGCTCCCCAGAAATCATTTTCTGTTTCCCTAGTCAGCTTGCCTACCATTTTCCACGATTGCCATTTCAACCTTCATTCTGCTCAAGCCATGAGCCAAGAGGAGTCCGTTACCATCACAATTCATTGCCAGCCACATTCATCCCAAAATGCCCAGACTACGAAAGTATCCTGCCTGAGAACCACATCTGGTTCTATTGACTTTACCTAATGTACCTGCATTAATGGGCATCTGCGTCAAGAGCCTAGATCAGTGATTCTCAGACTTGGTTGCACATTGGAATCCCCTGGGGACCTTTACAATATTAATGTCCAGCACCACCCATATAGATTCTGTTGCAATTAATCTCAGATATAATCTGGGCAAGGTTGTTTTCTGTTTTTGTTTTGTGTATGTGTGTTTTTGGAGAGGGGTTTGTGTTTGCTTTTTTAGCTTTCCAAGTGATTCTAACATGCAGCTAACAAGGTTGAAAAACCAATAGCCTAGGTCAGTGGTTCCCAAAGTGTAGTCTCTGAATCAGAAATTCAGGGGTTAGGGCTCAACCGTCTGTGTTTAACAAGCTCTTCAGGGGTTCTGATGCACACTAAAGTTTGTTCCAGACATTGACAGTGCTTCATTTGATCAGCCCTTGTATGTTAGACAGGAAAAGGATAAGTTCTATCCTCCAGGCTATTCCCCTGCCTACCTGATTTATCAGACTACCCCAGCAGTTCTCAACCTGTGGGTCGCAACCCCTTTGGGGGTTGAACGACCCTTTCACAGGGGTCGCCTAAGACCATCGGAAAACACATATATAATTACATTTTGTTTTTGTGATTAATCACTATGCTTTAATTATGTTCAATTTGTAACAATGAAATTGGGGGTCACCGCAACATGAGGAACTGTGTTAAAGGGTCGCGGCATTAGGAAGGTTGAGAACCACTGCACTAACCAGTGTAGGGGCCATCTGGAGCAGTGGGAATCTACTGAAGAAAGGAGATCAAGGCATATGATCCACAAATGCCATTCCAGTATCCAGTGTGAACGAGGATGCGAATGACTGGATAGGGGCTGATGTTTCATGGTCTCCTAACAAGCTCAGGACTTTCACTGAATAGATTTTTATGAGCAGTGTTGCTCCTCTTGGGGAAAAAAATGGCAGGTAGGAACCTTGTCTGCCTTCTTCAATTCACACAGGGACAGGCACATGAAAAATAAAAGACATACTGCTCATGTTCACCCTTGTCCTTTCTCTTCTGTCTGTGGAACACATGGGAAGGGGGGCTACCAGCACCAGCTACACTCATTTCTAAAACTTTAAATCACATCATCTATCTGATTAGTTTACAACTCTGTTTTGGGCCTGGTGCTGCTTGCAATTATATTTTCAGCTGTCTTTTGTCATCTCAGTGTCATCTCAGACAGCATGTAAGTGTAAGCCATTGTTAGGATTCTGGAAGAAATGACCATAAGCATATACACACACACACACCCCAAAAACCTTCAGGTCTTTCAATAACCACATTCCAAGTTATTACTGTTATTGTAGGTAGCTAGATATTAATAAAGGAAGGGAGCCAAGGGAATCAGACATTAATGAGCATAACCAACTGGGGAACATGAGCCTGCTTGCTTTACCGGGAAGTCACAGCTTCACACATTCCCCAGGGAATCGCCCATCTGTTCCCCCAAGATCACTAGGGGAAGGGATGGAACAAAAAGAGGGAGGTAGGCACAGGCACAATAGTTGCCAAGATGGTGAACATAGAGGCCTGTCAGTCCAGCCTGGGAGAAGAACAGATTGGTTAGAAGGCGGACCCAGTGCAAACCCTGCAAAAGTCTGGGAAATTGACTTGTTATTTTGAAAGTGGGCCTGGCCCTTCCCAGGAGCAAGATGATGTACAGTGACTTGCCCCATGTAATTGCGTATTCATTCTCCTAAATATACAGAACCAAGCAGCATGGCAGTTGTTAAAACTTTTCCATGGAGTTTAATTGCATCTTACTTCTCCTTTAAAGTAAAATTTCTGCATACATTTTTCAGTGCTAACATTATTACAATTATGTAATAACTGCAAGGGTTATAATATAAATTATAAAAATTATAACTACATTTTTGCCATCTTTGTAATCCTTTATTTTTTATTTTAAATAAACTTTTTGCAATATAATCTTATGCTGTACAACATATGTGGTACACCTTAAACTAATACAATAGTTTCTGTCAATTACATCTCAATAAAACTGAATAAAAAGTAAACTTTTAATTTTAGAACAGCTTTAGATTGATAGAAAAATTGCAAAAATGGTACAGAGTCCCATATACCCTACATCCAATTTCCCCTGTTCACATCTTGCAAGAATATGGTACATTTATTATGATTAATGAACCAGTGGATACATTGTTCCTAATTAAAGTCCATAACTTATTCAGATGTCTAGTTTTTACTTACTATCCTTTTCCTGTCCCAGAATCCCATCTAGAATACACATTACAGTTAGTAGTTATGTCTCTTTAGGCTCCTCTGACAGCATTTTTTTTAAGATGACAGCACAATCCACAACATGGCCACAGGAGGTGCAGAAGCAAATCAAAACAACTGCCCCGTTCCTCTGAGCCTCGCAAAGGAGGCGGGCATTGGTTTATCAGCTCAGGAGGCATTCATGTGAACAGTGCACAGCTTCCTTCGCAAGCTTTCATATGGTGGGTCTTGAAATTTTGTTGTAATTTGAAGGGTTTGGCTTTATTCCAAATGAACTTTCTATCGTATGCTTTCAAAGTACTCAACATCACATAAAATGTCCAGGGACACCACACAGACACGAGGCTGTTCCCCTGGTGAACAGAAGACAGACACAGATTTCGGGGGCCCCTCAGGAGACTGCGGTGTAGAACTTCCGGATGGGATTTTTAGAGCAGTTTTAGGTTTACCACAAAATTGGGAAAGAAGTTCAGAGACTTTCCTGCCCAGTGCATTTCCTGTTTTCCTCATTATCAGCATCGCTCACTAGAATGGTACTTTTTTTTTTTAACCAAGGACTAACCTATTGACACATCATAATCAGCTGAAGTCTATGGTTTACCGTAGGGTTCACTCTTGGTGTTGTACATTCTATGGGTATGGACAAAAATTTAATGAACTCCATCAATCATTATAAAAATCAGATAGAGTATATTCATTCCCCTAAAAGTATTGTACTGTGCCTATTCATGTCTCTCCCCCTTC